GTGTGTGTGTGCGTGTGTGTGTGTGCGTGTGTGTGTGTGTGTGCGTGTGTACGCGCACGCCTGTGTGTATGTGTGTACGTGATGAAACACCAAACCAATGTTCCAGGATCTGGATGATAAAAATGTATTATATATCTTATCTTATCTCATCTTATCTTACCTCATCTTATCTGTCCATGAGCAGATTTTAAAAATGGTTTTATCAACACAACTTGAGTGATAACGATATCTTATTACATTCTATCCATCCACGAGGAGAACGTAAATGTCTTCATCAGTACATTTTGAGTAACAAGGCCATGTTGTCTCACGTTCCGAACTACCGCACACAAATAAGAAATACGAATGTTCATATTTCTCATAATGCATGCGTTGTCTGCCTCTTTCAGTTTAAAAAAAGAGAAAAAATAATGAAAAACAAAACAAATCAAGAACTGTATGAATAACGTCTTCAAACGTTGTGGTGTGACGAGACAACTCGTCCTCAGTGGGTTAACCATAGTAATATCAAGACATTGCGCTATCCTAGAATTACTTACACATTACAAAGATTTATCTGCTCAGTACTTAGTTTTGAGAAATCTGACGTAAAAACTGCGATTCTTTGAATATCTTGATAACAACTCCGAATAATATTACGCTTTTGATAGAGCAGATAGAACATTTGGTGTCTGACCTCATGGTCTTAGTAACTAAAAAAGGCCAACAAATGCCAGAAAGAACGTTGTAACTCTAAGGTAGGAACTGGTCTTGACCAGACTGCTCGTCCTAAATGAGTTGATTAACGGTATCCTGACACTCTGCCGTGCAGTCCCGGCATTTAGAAGAATAGGACTGACGTGTTGCTAACGTGTCGTAGGTAAGAGGCGACTAAATGGCGAACCAGGTAGTGACTCCTGAAACAGAGTCATCCTTCCTCCAGATCGGGGGTTGAGTCACGAGGCTAACAACCTCTCTCGTAAAAAGAACTTGTTACAGAAACACATACAAGCAAAAACTATTATCTCTGCTTGGCTGGTCGTGGATTTTCTCCCAATGTGATTCGAGGCAGTAAAAGCCTAAAGGAAGCTGCTGGGCAGAAGCCTTCATCATCATCCAAGTCTTTGCGTTGGATGGGACACACTCCCAGAAAGCCCAGCGGACGCATCACAAGACAGTGGCTGCAGTGGAACCCACAGGGAGCACGAGGCAGGGGTAGGCCACGGGAAACATGGAGGAGATGCGTGGAAAGGGACATGAGAGAGATAAAGCTCACTTAGAACGAGCTAGGCAAGGTGGCCCAGGACAGGGATAAATGGAAGGAGCTTGTATGTGGCCTATACCCTGCCAGGGGTGAAAGGCACTGATGATGATGATGATGATGATGAGGATGATCAAGACACTGTGTCACCTGTACTACTGTCTCACAAGACACTGTGTCACCTGTACTACTGTCTCACAAGACACTGTGTCACCTGTACTACTGTCTCACAAGACACTGTGTCA